GGCCCCTCCCCGCAGTTGTCTTCAGTGTCTAGGGTGGTTCTCAGGGAGCAGGTAGTCGGCGACAAAGCGGAGGTGATGTTGCTGACGGCAGTAGCTCGAAAATAGAGGTAGACTGGGCAATTGCAATCGCGGGAGTTTGCTTCTCTTATCGATCCCGTGGAGAAATCGAACGAAGCGTAACAGGGGGATACTGATGGTTTAAAACAAAAGGAAAGTAATGAAGGAGGCGGTGCCATTTCGAAGGCAACAGTCTGAGCAAAAAATAATACTGTTTCACTTGCCCTCCTTGCCTTCAAGAAAGGAAGTTGATTTGGCGGGATCGGTGCCTATGGTGATGGGAATGTGCATTCTGAACTCGTTCTTCGCGGTTTTTTTGCGCGATAGTCGGAGCCTGAGCTGTAAACATAATGGACAAATAAGTTAGGTACTGAATGAATGTTAGTAGGCTGAAATAATAAGATTTAAGTCGTTGATTGTACACATGTACAACCCACCAGTAAGAGGTAGCCTATCTGGATTATGGAAGAAGACTGGGTATCCTGACTCGCAGGAAGGGGAGGCACGTGGATAGTCTCAACAAAGTATCCCGATCCGGCCACGGGAACTGCAGCCTCGCTTGTCTGAGGGTGACTCGGAGGAACAGTGAGGTTTTTCAAAACGGCCGCAAACACTCGAATAAACTCCACTGAATTCTGGCTCTCATTCTGTCCAAACATTTTCACCCTCTGGTAGGTTATGCGAATTAGAAAAGAGAAAAAAGAAAGAAAACCCATTTTTGAAAGTGGGGAAACGTCACCAGATGAGGACAGAGAGCGAGGTAAAGCAGTAAATCTAATACACAATTCCTCTACTCCGACTAGAGGTCAATTTATTGTTCAAAGACTAGGAAAGATTATGCGAATGCCTGGAAACAATACTTAATTTGTAATAATTTCAGTTTATGTAACAGGTGGAAAGAGGCATGATCTAAAATTGCCCATCTGGAGGTCTGTCTGGAGGAAGGAGGGAGGAGAGAGTAGCTAAGACATACTTCAGCTATGCGGTTTGCCAAAAATAGTACCTGCAGGAGACTGAGATGAACCATTTTTATCGGTTGGGAGGAGCCATTCTTGATGTTGACACACGCCATGAGGGATTCCCCAGGCACAAAACCCGTCTTGTTGACAGAGAGGTCACAGAGGATGGGGTCTGATGAGGTCAGACATTGAGAATGCCTGAGGAGGGGATTAGGGCATGGGCGAAATTCCCGGTGAAGCGTCACGCGATCCTTTACACAAAAAAGGATGAAATGACAGTGGTCAGTCGGGATGATAAAACAGCTGAAAATACTGCTTGTGAAATGGCTATTCTCTTAGCCGTTAGCATCTACACCGTGCTTCTGGCTAAGCCCCAATATTTCACATGAGTGTTCAAATTTTTGATTTCAACCGGCGCTTCTAACCACTTAATATGTGGGACACGACTTCAACGGTGAGCTGCAGAATCATACATTTATACGGAATCAATTTTTTGCCAAGTCGTGATGTCAGTGTGGTCACTCAGGATAAAGCATAGGCTACGGGAAAATGCCCTCGTTCTTTTATGTCATCCAAGAATAGGTAGCCTAAACAGGATTTTCTAAACCAAAGTCAATATGTTCACTAGGCAACTGCAGTCCAACGTACGCATTATTTAAAGCGTATGAATAATTCAAAATAGATTTCAAATGAGATTTTTGTCAGCGCATATTCCTCATAGGAGTTAGTAAGTCTTCAATTTTTACCAAAACAGACCGAACGAGTCACGCGTTGGACAGTAATTTGCTTTAAGTCAAAGCGTGAAAACAAGACATCGCAACCATGCAGGGGAAAAATGCCGACAAGGAAAAGGCAAACTGGGACGGTCATTTCTGACTCGTTAGCCGTCGTCAACCAGCCTTCACAACGGCTTTATCATATGATTAGCGAACCTTATTGAGTCCACCGCTCTACTACTGAGTCACGGGCCCGTTGTCCTGTAGGTTGCGACTAGGTAGAGTGAATAACGGCTGAAGACTTATAAATAAATTTAGTTGACCCAATTGTGAAAAAACTCGCGGCATTCGGCCGGATGCCGCGAGTTTTTTCACAATTGGGTCTGCCAAACCAACTTAATTATATATAAATATAATGCTTACTTATGTAATTTAAGTAGGTACGCTAGACAACTAATAGTGTGTCCGCGCGACTCAATGGGCGATTAATAGGAAATAAGCTGAAGACAAGGAAACCAGGTGGGATAAGGCCAAAAGCAGAAATTTTCGATCTTTCTAATAGTTGTTTGAAGCTACCAACCGGAATAATGATAGGAGAAAAACAATGGCGAAGGTCTGTGACACTGACAACGGCATGGAAGACGAGACAGCAGATGCTTTTCCACGACCTGGTGGGGGATGACTGGCAGAAACCCACGAAGGGCTAAAAAAATTAGCTGACATTGCTCGTACAATTTTGTTGTCAGCTGGCGGAAAACCGATTGTTTACAGCAATGTCAGACCTAACAGACGAAGCTATAAATTAATGGACTCAGAACGACAGTCTGTGTCATTTACTAGATTACTAGAAGGAATCGGGAAGACGGGGCTAAAGCAATAGACAGCAATATTTCCCTGGAGTTAGGTAGGACTTGCTATAACGACTACTGAATCAGAAATGGTCACTTCAGTCTCCTTTATTTTTGCCGGCAATGTCTGGCTGCCTACACTTCTAGCCACTGTGCGGCTGCTGGCGGCGTTCGAGAAAGAAATCTTCAAAGCAGAACGGGATGAGTGAGTTCCGTTAGTGATCGGTAAACTTGTAGTGGCCCCTAGCAGCCACTTGGAACCCAAGATCAGCCGCTGACGCATGGCACTTTTGGCCTGCAAGGCCTCTCGCCTACGCCAGCTTTCGCCCATCTCAAGGTTGTGCCACGACCACTAGTCTAGACATTAGCCGCGTGATTGGCTGCCGTAACAAAGCATGCGCCGGCATTCCGGCGATTTCCGATGTTCTCGTCACTCTCCGGAATTGACGCCCTCGCAGTTGTCCGAGAGACAAAACTCTTTTCATCTGTTCTCCTATCCTTCTATGCAGAATACATTATTCATAACACTCTGGCCTTCCCACCGTCCCCTCTCTTCTCTACTAAGAAATCATGGTCTGAAGATCGCGGTTGCTAGGGTTAAATTTACTTAACCCCCCGCCCCCCACGATAAAAGTTCATCAACGACTGTTAATATTCCCGATCGGTAGGACTGTCTTTAGAGGTGTTACCTGTCTTTGACTTAAAATAATAAACTATTGTTACATTTTGCAGTGGCCCAACTTTCCCTTTTTCGTTAAGTTCCGCCAATATAAGGTCAAATTTATACTAATAGGCATTAGTTGCCTGAGTAACAGGGGTTTATTTTGATGGAGTTGATTCTATTCAGCTCAGTTAAACAAATATATGTGGCCTTAATTTAATGCTCTTTGTCCACTTTCGGCACAATTAAATATTAATTTACACGCGTTAACCAAGAATTAGATGTTTAACCACCAATTCCGTCAGACAGTTGGGTGGGGGAATATATACTTAGGCGGCTCTACAAGACAGTCTTGCCACTCGATCTAAAACAGTAAGACAGTGACCTCGTGGCTCAATGGTTAGAGCGTTCGGCTTCCGCTCAACAGGTCGCGGATTCGAGTCTCACGTGGTAGTGCACCACCTGGGGTTTGGTAGGACTGGCTGGCTGACTAGTAGCCCTTATTGGATCCGGAGCCCTGCCGGGTGGGCCTCAA